CAAAGTTTGTCTTCTCTGTCAGCATGAATAAAAATTATTTTGCCAATTATTTTTTTTACTATAGCACTTTGAGCCACAATATTAATATAGCAGGTTTATGGCACCAATCAGGTATACGTACAACAGATATAAGTAAGGTTCAGGATATTTGTCTGTCATCTGGAGATTTTTTCGAAAGGATTGTATAGGCTCCTGCCCTCTATTTGAAATTAGAAAAAAGCAGTAGTGTTGCAGTGCTTTGGTGGTCCCCTCATAATCATTCTACTATGCAAGATAACACTTAAAAACGATGACTATTATGATAATGAGGACACATATCTTGTCTGTCATCTGGGCCCAGCCTGCCCTCTTTCTCTGCAGATGCTCCACTGGTCGACATAGCAGCTCCCGGCGTCATGGCAACGGCTGCTGTGTCTCCGTCATGCTCCACGTCCCCATGTGAGAGAGCTGTGTTCAGAGCCTTGGCCTCATGTGTGTTGTGGAACAGAAGAGATTCATATTCAGGGAAACTCAACAACACCAGCTTATGTGGTCACAGCTCTTCCATGACATAGGTTTTTTACCAGAATGGATTTAACAAGTGTTTCCTCTGACAAGGCGGGCGTTCTTTACATCTTACAATTGTTAGAATCAAAATTTAAAAGACAACATAGTATGTTTTTTGGTATTTAGTTTTACACTTTGACATGTATTTCATGTGTGTACATAAATTATTTACATTTTGTTCTTTGTAAACTGCAATATTGATATGAAATGGTCTATAAATGTAATAGGTCCTTTGATTTCCTGTCAACCAGGAAGTCCAAGCACACATGTCCTGTGCTCAATTTTCTGCACTGGCTTCCTGTGGCTCAAAGAATAGACTCTCTGTTGCACCTTTGTTTGTGTACAAGTCTCTCTATGGCTGAGCACCAAAGTACATCTGTGACATGTCAGTGCCATATAAACCATCTCAGACTCTGAGGAGGTCAGGGACCAGCCTCCTGCTGGTGCCCAGAGTCAGCACTAAACATGGGGAGTCAGCGTGTCAGTTTTATACAGCTACAATCTTCCCGAACATAAGAGACAGGCCTCTGTGTTTGTTTAAATCCAGGCTCAAAACTCTTCTGTTTAGCTGTGTGTGTGTGTGTGACTGAAAGTTTTTTTTATTCTGACAGAACAGTCAGCAGAGATAAGAGATAGAAACTTACTTTCAAACTGAATTTAACCTTTTCTGTGTCCTCAAACCTCAAAAGTGGGACAATCCAAAACAAAAACAAAAGAGTCAAACATGCATGAATCAATCAAAACACAGCTGTGAAGAGGTAACACCATTAAAACATGATTAGAAGAAAAAAGTCAGTGAATGGAAACAGTTGATAACTGGTGTCATTGGTGGGGTCTTGGGGTTTGTGAGAGAGGGATTTCCCAACTGAAATAAAGTTATAAATATATTCAGATTCACATAGTTCTCCAAGGTCATTTTGACTCCTCACATCTGGAATCTATGCCTCCCACGGGCTCTAAACATTGTCCGAATGCTTTAATAATGTATGATGCTATTTGGGCTTAAAGAGTTTTGTGAAATTGATATGAAGAACCATAATGAATTGAGGAGTGCAGTGGTGGGAGTACAGTAGTGGTTAGTGGAGGAAGAGGAAATGGTGAGATAAATAACTAATTAGGTTCCTGGTGTATGTTGTGTGGGCTGGGGTTTGGGGCTGCAGTCTCCGGGGGCAGTGAGAAGTGCAGCTGGGCCTTTGTCCTGTTTCCATGCACTGGTGTTGGCTTACACTCCAGTACAGGGAATAGGCTTCTGAGGCTGCAGATCTGCTTTCTACTGTACTGATGGGAGGGGCCACACGTGAACTCACTGCTCCTAAATACGCATATACTCGCAATAGTCGCAATATCTAGATGCATCTATAGCTAAACATCTGACGACCTAATTGATTAAATACTGCTCAGTCTTTTCAGGAGCTGAGGCCTGTTACAATGATGTAATGGCCAGAGGTGGTCTACAGTCTATAGTGTAGTATAGTTTGTATCGAGACCAGGGTAAAGACACAAAATGTAAAGATTAATCTGCATTCATTCATTATTGTACTATAGTGTCTTAAGAACAGGCCACTGTTTTTATTATACCTGTAAACACGCCCACCAGACTGTAAGTCAGGACGAGGGGGCATAGCCTCTCTCTCACACCTGGGATACAGTTCTAAAGAAGTCAGACTGCAGGTGGCGCTGTCGCCACCTGCAGTTAATGCTATGCACCTGCAGTTTAACTTCAAGTAGCAAGACAGTGGCAAAAATGTTTAAATCAGCTGATCAGAGACACCCCATATCACAGCACTCAACAGAGTGCAGTCAAAACTGTTAAAGTATGAGTTTCCCAAGGCACAATAGTACGACTATATCAGAGCGAGCCTCATCAAAACACCATTCATCATGTCTATGGTGGGACTAAGGGGACAATGTAAGCTCCTTTAGATCCAGTACTATTCTGCACATTGTTTTTGCAATAACATGGATACAATTTTTATTTGTATAACTAGCCCTACTGCAATATCATTAGCATGTATTCACAACTTTTGTCTGTTATGTTCTACTAAATAAGTGTGAGTGGGAGTATGAGTTTTAAATGTGTTTGTGACAGAAGAGGCACCTATCAGTTATCCCTTTTCTCAGAGTGTCCGTCTTTGACATGTCAGGGTGGGTCTCACCCCCAGAGGCTCAGGATCAGGTAGTCCTCTGTCTCCTGCACACATCATGGGAATCCTGCACAGACCAGAGGGACTTTAGCTTGTGCGCCGCTGTGGCCTGTGAAGATACTGTGTGTAATGTTTTTGCTAAGGACATCCATCTTAAGCCGAGTTAAGCCTGGTCTTTATTTAGGATCTCTGCTGAGCATCAGTGCAGCACTGCAGTCGTGTTGATAAGGCAACAATGGAGGGGCGCCTCTGTTGTCGTTGTACACTCACCTCCAGAACCACTGACCTTAAAAGTTCAACAGGATTAGCTCTGTCTTAATGCATCTCATTCACCTCACACTTGAGATTTCTCTGTAAAAGGAAGCCGCACAAATATACATACATATATACATACGTATACATTCTATATATGGAGATAAGAAACTGAGATTTTACGGGGCTACAGGCAGTGTTGGGGTGTGGCTCTGGAAAGACCCTAACCACAAATAACCACCACCCCCTCCTCCAGTACTTGAAGAGTAATTGCTTCCACTGTAAAAGATGGTGCTGATTTTTGTCTGTTAGTAAGATAACAGTTTTTGGCATATTCTGCACCATATATTACAGTATAGGGTTTATTATAGGGTTATTAACTTTGGCTATACAGAACAAGTAAATAATGACAAACAGTTCTTCTGTAGCTTCTAAGTCTTCTCTATAACTATAGATTTTGGCATTAAAGGGGCCCATATTACGCTATTTTTGGATCTATGCTATAATGTATAATGTCCTTGTTAAAAACATACCTGGAGTTGTTTTATTCACACATGTTAAACACACCAACCCTGCACATTTAGGCTCTGTTCAGTCAAATGAAAAACTCTGTTCCACCTTGTGATGTCATGTGGTAATACAAGAAGTGCTCCACTGTGTTCTCCATACACCTTCACTAGAATCATTTGAATAATTTCAGCCCTGGAATTGACAATCTCTACTAAACAAAAGGTAAAAGCTGAAAACTACAGCTTCATAATATCACAAGGTGGAATGGTGCATTTTGATCTTTGGAGACGTAGACTGACTAATAATCCAGGATTATTCATGTGTGAGTAAAACAAAACACAACTTCAGGTATGTTTTTGAGGAGGTAACAGTATTATAACATGTCTTTAATTACTGTGACCATGTACCCTGATCTAGAAAAATTCTATGAACAAGTAGGTATGGTCTATATGTACAATATCCATTCTATATTCTCTTTCTTCATGTTTATTATCTTAAACATGTGTGAATGAGCCATAATCTTTGAACAACTGCTGTGTTTTAGCCTGTGGAATGTGCTAGTTCAATTGTAACGCATTATTTGACCAAAGGTTATGGTCACGATTAGCTCTGGGTGAGAGAACCTCCTGGAGAAAGTGGAGATGAGAGGCAGGAGTCGGCTTGTCAATTAAACCAGGTCAACTGTGCAGGAACCTGGGCACAAGAGTCAGCCAATAGATCCAACACAATGAAAAATACCATGCAGATACAGGCTAAAAGAGAGAGGATGGAGCAGCAGTTGGTCCCTATATGCACTTGAGGGGGTTTTCAGTGAGGAACAAAACAAGGGGAAAGGGCGGGTGGAGAAAGGATACTTTAAAAAACCTACTAAAGGGATTAGGGGTTTAATGAAGTGGGCATTGGAAGGCAGAGGCTGGACGATCTGTAGTGAGGGAGGGGGGACTTGTATTAGCTGCTGTGGTTGAGTTTGTTTTCCTTTCACACAAAACACTGCCCTTGCACCATGTTTAGTAAAGTATACAGAGGCAGAACTCTTACTAAGAAAACTTTTAATTTTGAGGATTAAGTTCGAGGATTGTTAGAGGAAAAATCCAGAGCATGTGACAGCTCTGGTGGCTTTAGTGATGTGGAGAAATCATATGCATTCTTTTAAGTGGGGTCGATTTAATCTGGACAATGTGACTCTGGTGACTGGATATATTATATGTTTTTATGATGTTGGGTGGCCCAGTTGAGAATAGAGAGAGAGAGAGAGATTATTACCTAGGCTACTATACTTGTATTTAATTTTCAACTGGACTTATAAATGTATCATAAATAGTCAATAGGCTATAGTTTTGCACGTAAACTCTCAGCTGTTGAGCCGGCTATTATGCTGTGTAACCTCATATTTTTGGTAATAGCAGTGTAAACAAAGCAACAGCTCCTTGATTATTCAGGAAGCGGAAAACACGGGTCACGCGCACTGCCGTTTGTCAGTGTATATATATATACTTAATTTTGTCTTGTGAAACCTCAGTCACTAGGTCGAGGTGCACTTGTTGAGAGGATGTGTGAGTCCACAGGAAGAAAGGGGCGGGGCTGGAGTGAGGCGGGGAGGCGCACTGACACCTAGGCAGTGAGCGCGGAGAGCTCGGTGCGTGCGTTTCTTCTATGGAGAGCTGTGCGTAAAGGTGCCGCGGCTGCTAGGCTACCTGTTGGACTTGGGACTTCCGCGGAGCTGCAGCGGGAGGGAAGGGACAGAAGGACGGCCTCTGCTCTCGAGGGACTAGGAATCTTTAAAATGTCCCTCAAACTATTGACTGTAGTAGCGCTCTATCACGGGACGCTCCTGTGCTGTGGATTTAATATAGATGAACGCTTCCCCGTCATCAAAAAGGGCTTCACTAAAGGCAGCTTTTTTGGTTTTTCGGTGGCTCTGCATGAACAAACGCTGGGCACACGAAAATACCTGTGAGTAGCATTTTAAACCTTTTTACCCTCCACCTGTTAGTGCGTAAAAGAACAGCCATGTCGCAAATCTCGGTCCAGTAACTGCTAAACCGCTAACACCGTAAATTCGCCTCCTGCTTGGCTCCGAGGCACCTGTTGCATGAATATAAACTGATTTACGCAGTTGTTAAGCGGTTCCAGCGGTTCTTTCTCCATCCCTCACTTCTCTAAAGCTCTGTCTCTGTTTCGACACCTGTTAACGGGAGAGAGCAGAGTCCATTTTTAGACTTTGCACACGTACGGCAGCCTGCACTGATTCTTTCTGCTGCAAGAAATACTTTGTTGAGGCATACCTGATCATAACAGTAGACCTAGTGGGAACTGTTGACGTAGGTGCTTTCACAAAAACTGTAAAAAGCAGTGTGGTCTTTTGAATGAACAGTTGTGCAGTGGGTTTAAGCAGCTTCCTGTTATTCCTGTAATTAGTTCATCATTGCCAAGCTTGCCTTTTTGTTTTAACTAGTAATATTAACTAGCAAGTGAAAATAAATGTCGTATATTCAAAAAAAAAGTACTCTTACAGGCCACTGCTATCCACTCATGCATATTTGTGTAGACTGCACTATACAGTTAATCAATAAGTACAATACACCTATCTTACTACGAAAAGCAACTTGAATTATACAAAACTTAATATTACTTTCTTTATTATCTCAGCTGCCCTCTACAAAGTTCTACAACATTTGGACAGGATGTAGTTGTTGTCTCTGTAATAAGTAAAACACTAAGTCTTCTATAGTTTGATATATTTAGGTAATTGTCATCTGCGCTCCATAATTTGTGCAATTCATTCATTCCATCTTTCTAGCCTCCTTAATGAGAGATCTCAAAGTGTATCATTGTTTAGTGTAGGATTTCCCTCCGTCAATTACAGAGCCCCCCAATCCTTCCGCCTGCATGATCACACAGTGTGTTCAAAATGTGCTCTTATCTCTGTCCCCTTCTCGCTTTGAAGAATAAACCAGGGAGAAAAAAAACTGTAAACTAGCCCAAGTAAGTCTCAGCAGTCTCCCCAGCCACCGCAATAGATAGCGGTGTACAGATGACACAAGATCAATGGCCCATATTATCTTGTCCCGTGAGGGCTAGTGTCTCCTGTCCCAAATGCAACTCAAGAAGGGGGCTGGACTGGACATGGTAATGGTACAGAAGCCCACTGGGACAAAATGCTTCAGACTTTTTGATGATTTAAATGGGTTTATGTGGGATTGGAGAGATTATGAGATGTATAAGTCAGGCTGATGAGAGCTGAGAGGGGAGACGGTGCATTGATTTGCTTGTAGCGACATGCCACAGTCAATTAAAAAGGCAAAGGAGTCAGCCAGATGCTATGGAGGCTTTACTTTGGAGGATTTGAAGCTTCATGGAGTACTGGAGGTGTGAATTATGAAAATAAAAGGTTGTGTTTATGAAGTCGTAATACAGTGAAGTAAAGATACAACTTACATACTTGAGATCAGTCAATGTCTGATCTCTAACATTAAAGGATAGTTCAAATCCAAAAGTTACATATCAAAAGTGTATGCTATTCATGTGTCCCTGGGCAAGACACTTCAGCTACATTGCTCACACCAGTCACAAATTTGATAGAGAAGTTTGTTAAAGGTCAAAATGAACACAGCATGCCAATGCCAAGTTACCAATAGATAAGATAGTAGCTCACTGTAGCACAGTGAGACAAAATTTTTTTGATGCAAATATCTAAACTTAAACCAGGATTTATGTTTAAAGAGACAATGTTCTTTTATGGTTAGACAGTGCATGAATATTAGTGGATTTGGATGTAAACTAATCTTTTTGTCATAGTTTCTTGTATTTCTTAAAGGCCCAATCCAATCTTGGTTGATGAAATTGAGCAAAGTCTACTTGCCTCAGTACAGATATATTGTATAAGCAGCTGTTGAGGTCAAAATATGTCTGTGTGTCTGTGATGTGCTGCCTTCATCTGATTATAAAATGTGTTGTTGTCCTATAATCAGGAAGTTCACATTAGCATGCCAATTGTTGTTAACTTTACTTCCCCTTTGGTATCTTAAAGTTGTGGAAAGTTCTTATAAACTATGTGTACTGAGTATCAGAAAGTACAACTTTGAGAGCACATAGACTAGTATATGCCCATGGCATCTACCATACATTACACAGACTACACAGATATAAGACCACTTGGGAATGTTAAAAAAAAAGGTGCCAGGTCAGGGGTACCTTTTGACCACTGCAAGCTGTTAACAATGAACTAGTTCTGCTTCCAATGTTAATAAGACATTAAAATCAGGTACAGGACCTTTACATTTTATAGCTTTATATTGCGTTATAATCTTGTGTAGACAGTTTGCACAGGCTGGCAGCAGTAGCCCTTCAGTATCTGTGAGAATCTCCCTGTGTCCTGATGATACAGTAGAAGAATGCACCTATGTGCTCTCCATGTTTGCTCTGGAACCCTTTTACAGTCTCTGCAGTTCGCTCTATTGTGGTCATACATTTGTCTCCCTGTACCATAAAAACCTCTTTATTATTGGACTCTTGGGAGTGTGAATATTTGAGAAATGCCAGTACTAAGCCTGTACGTGACATGTTTAAAGTGGCCACACTTTGTACATATATGACTCAGAGAGACAGAGGATGAAAAGTGGAGTTTTCCATTCCCAGCAATAAAAGCAACTCAATAAAGCTCGTGCTCAGATGCTTAAGACTGTTATCCAATTAGACTAAATTTGAACTTTCATACTGAGACCTATGAAGGCTTTAGCAACAGAGGTTGGTAGTACTCACATTACTTTACATTTACTTGAGTAACTTTAACTTTTTCAAAAATGTATTACTAAAATAACTACTTTTCTGGTATCATACTTTTACTCTTACTTGAGTAATATATTTTTCAGTGTAACAATACTCTTCCCACTGTGAGTCTACATGTGACAAAAAGCTTTATGTTGATGAAATGATCTGAACTTTTGTGTTGTCCTTAAAATACGATTTGTATGATTGTATAATTTTTATGTCTGTCCTTTGAAAACCAGATTTTTTGCATTATTTAATACTTTGTCATTCAGATTACATTAACTTCAAATTATAAATCAGATATTACGTCCCGACAGTTACTCTTGAAGTTACTTTTCTCAAATACTTTGGACCACTACTTTGTACTACATTATTACTTTGAAGTAATGCTACTCTTAGTTTAGTAAATCTTTTGGCTCCTCTACTCACTTCTGCTTAGCGATCAGTATTGCTTCTTGGAAACAGCTGTACCCCCTAATCTGCTAACCTACCCTACCTGAGGCCAATTTGTACAGTCTATTTACCTCCTCGCCCCCCTCCGGTGGCAATTAGCACTCAGGGTCTGGCAGATATTTCTTCACAGAGGGCTTTTTTTGTCCCATCTTGGAGCACGGCTAGGTGGATGAGGAGAAGGGGTGACGGTGGGATGGGGGTGGGGGGTCCTGGGACTGTCAGCTGGCCACCTATTGGCTCTTCCAGTCCCCTGACCTCACGGTATGCCTGGAATGCACCGGTCTGCTCTGCACAATCACAACCTGCCAGGCTTCAGGTCGAGACAAGACAGGAGTCGCAGTGATGATGATCTAAGGGACCATTGAGGAAGGAACACACGCATTTACAGCACTACTATTGAAACCTCTCTAGTTCTAGTTTTGGTTGGGAGTCCATCACCTGCTTGTTTCTATGGATATGCCATTGCTCTGCCTGGAATGTTCCACAATATTACATTGAACAGCTCTACCTTACATTTATTCAATTACAGGTGGTTTTATAGCTCTAAAATACCTACAAAAACAGACATTCTGATTGTGAACGGATTGCCTCTTCACAGATCTGACCTGTAACTTGATCTGGTTTGGTCTCCAAGAAGATAGAAAGGTTATGAAAGTAATAACGTCACGGAGAAATGCATATGGCAGACCCTCAATCAGAAAAGTTACAGTTGCAAAAGTTGTACCTTTAAAGAGGGCATACTGTGCAAAATTATGAACTTTTAACCATGCATGTTATAACTGTGTTGTTGTATTTAGATTCATGCATGTTTCAATAATCTTGTATTATCTGTATTTAAGGCTTGAGTGCTCAGAAAATGTCTGTTTCACCTAACCCCTACATCCTCCCGCTTCCCTATAATCACTTACTATTACTCAAAATCTGACTCCAGTACTTGTATAAAGTTCAAAATGTTGTGTAGCCATTTTTCATCAATAAAAACTCGTAAACATAAATTAAAAATACATTTCTTGCAAGGGTGAATTGAAACAAACTTCTCGATTAGTAAATGGTTCCTGTTCATTTTGTAGTTTACAATTAACAAAATGTAAAATAATGATCCATGTACGTTGTAATTTATTACTAAGTACTTGAAATAAAGCATAATATGTCTTTAACATTATGAGACACACTTTCACAGCTCTTCTTCTTCTTCCTCAGCAGTGTAATTTGCGTGGGCCCTCCTCCTCTGAGCTATAGGTGTGCATCATGGAGGGGAGCAGTCCGAACATGCACAAAAACATGCCTTAGATGTTATGACGGAATATTGCTCCCGAAGCCATAAAAATGGCTGCACGAGGTGAAATAGAAGTAGAAATTATTTAGAGCTTCAGCTTAATCACATAATTGAGGATAATTGTTGCTAGGTTGGTGGTGTGGTGGATGAAAGGCTAGCGCTGACAAGTCTCCCTGAGTCATTGTTGAAGGATGGGTCAAATGCATTTAATATTCACTCATGTCTTATTGTTAGTGATATGTTTGTTCAGTTGAGATCTCAAGAGTCAATCCTCTGTCAGTAAATGTATGTACAGAAAGATTATTTTAGCTCAGATGTAAATGATTCAAAGTTTGTAGTGTTTATGTTCACAAAATTAATATTAAATCCGCTTAATTTGCTTCGTCTACCTTAAAGGGCCTCTTCCATGATTTTCTGATCTGTGTTATTGTTGTTTCCTCATCAGGAACATATC